TCATCAATATTATATGCCAAACTTAATGCGGTCATAAGGGTTCAGAAGGATCTCAGTCAGGAGGATTAGTGCAAAACCAGTTGGGTAACATCAATATAATACGTAAAACACAATGCGTTCTAAAGGTTTCAGAGGTGTTTTCAGTTAGAGGGATTACTGCAAAACTAGTTGGGTAAAATCAATATTATATGTAAAACGCAAAGAGTTGTAAAGGGTTCAGATGTGTTTTCAGTTAGGGGGATTACTGCAAATCCAGTTGGGTACAATCAATATTATACGTCTAACGTAATGTTGGGCATCATCAATATTATACGTCAAACTTAATGCGTTCATAATGGTTCAGAAGGTTCTCAGTCATGGGGATTACTGCAAAACCATTTGGGTATCATCAATATTATACGTCTAACTTAATGCGTTCAAAAAGGTTCAGATGGGTTATCAGTCAGGGGGATTAGTGCAAAACCAGTGGGGTTTTCATCAATATTATACGTTAAACGTAATGAGTACTAAAGGATTCAGAGGTGTTCTCAGTTAGAAGTAGAATTACTACAAAACCAGTTGGGTATCATCAATATTATACGTCAAACTTAATGCGTTCATAAGGGTTCAGAAGGTTCTCAGTCATTGGGATTAGTGTAAAACCAGTTGGTTATCATCAATATTATACGTTAAACGTAATGAGTTCTAAAGGGTTCAGAAGGTTCTCAGTCAGGGGGATTAGTGCAAAACCAGTTGGGTATCATCAATATTATACGTTAAACGTAATGAGTTCTAAAGGGTTCAGTGATGTTTTCAGTTAGGGTGATTACTGCAAAACCAGTTGGGTATCATCAATATTATACGTCTAACTTAATGCGTTCATAAGGGTTCAGAAGGTTCTCAGTCAGGGGGATTAGTGCAAAACCAGTTGGTTATCATCAATATTATACGTTAAACGTAATGAGTTCTAAAGGATTCAGAGGGGTTCTCAGTGCAAAACAGTTGGTTATCATCATTATTATACGTTAAACGTAATGTTGGGTATCATCAATATTATACGTCTAACGTAATGTTGGGTATCATCAATATTATACGTCAAACTTAATGCGTTCATAATGGTTCAGAAGGTTCTCAGTCATGGGGATTACTGCAAAACCATTTGGGTATCATCAATATTATACGTCTAACTTAATGCGTTCAAAAAGGTTCAGATGGGTTATCAGTCAGGGGGATTAGTGCAAAACCAGTGGGGTTTTCATCAATATTATACGTTAAACGTAATGAGTACTAAAGGATTCAGAGGTGTTCTCAGTTAGAAGTAGGATTACTACAAAACCAGTTGGGTATCATCAATATTATACGTCAAACTTAATGCGTTCATAAGGGTTCAGAAGGTTCTCAGTCAGGGGGATTAGTGCAAAACCAGTTGGTTATCATCAATATTATACGTTAAACGTAATGAGTTCTAAAGGATTCAGAGGGGTTCTCAGTGCAAAACAGTTGGTTATCATCATTATTATACGTTAAACGTAATGACTTTTAAAGGGTTCAGTGATGTTTTCAGTTAGGGTGATTACTGCAAAACCAGTTGGGTATCATCAATATTATACGTCTAACTTAATGCGTTCAAAAAGGTTCAGATGGGTTATCAGTCAGGGGGATTAGTGCAAAACCAGTGGGGTTTTCATCAATATTATACGTTAAACGTAATGAGTACTAAAGGATTCAGAGGTGTTCTCAGTTAGAAGTAGGATTACTACAAAACCAGTTGGGTATCATCAATATTATACGTCAAACTTAATGCGTTCATAAGGGTTCAGAAGGTTCTCAGTCAGGGGGATTAGTGCAAAACCAGTTGGTTATCATCAATATTATACGTTAAACGTAATGAGTTCTAAAGGATTCAGAGGGGTTCTCAGTGCAAAACAGTTGGTTATCATCATTATTATACGTTAAACGTAATGACTTTTAAAGGGTTCAGTGATGTTTTCAGTTAGGGTGATTACTGCAAAACCAGTTGGGTATCATCAATATTATATGTCTAAATTAATGCGTTCAAAAGGGTTCAGAAAGTTCTCAGTCAGTGGGATTACTGCAAAATCAGTTGGGTATCATCAATATTATATGTTAAACGTAATGAGTACTAAGGATTCAGAGGTGTTCTCAGTTAGAAGGAGGATTACTATAAAACCAGTTGGGTAGCATCAAAATTAAAAGTTAAACGTAATGAGCTCTAAATCATTATTAAATGCTAGTGGGACTTTTCATACTATAAGTTAAACGTGATGCCCGCTGTAATAGATTTTGTATTGCTGTGAGAGTAATTACTGCAATGCCAGTTAGACATCAAGAATGTTAGTCAAACAAGAAGCAAGCTCAAAAAAGCTCTGTAATATTAATTTTTAGTTATATTTAAATTGCTCAAGAAAAAAACGGGAGCAGCTTATTAATCTCAACGAATATATAACTGGTTAGTTTATTTTTGTTATCACTTCCATTGGGAAGAAAAGAAGAATGCAGCATGATACAATAATATTATTTTTTTTTTAGATGAGAGAACCTTAAATTTTATCGCAGCAAAATCACGCTATCCAGCAATATGTTGTAAAAAAAAACATCAATGCTAATGTTAATTGAGTGTATGCTGCTCATATTAAATTAGAGGTGTATGGTATAACGTTAAATAAGATTTAATTACACAAGAATCAGGTTTAAGATGTTATAAACATAAACCTTTGAAAAATCAAGGTTACCTTAGAAGATTGAGGTTATGGTTTGAACAAAAGTGGTGCACGTACAAGTTTTTATTGAGATATAGCCTACGACACCACACTTAAGTTCGTGACGTTCCATTGCATCCCCATTAAATAAGGTGCGTTCTCTAAATTAAAAACTTGATTATTACCGTTCTTGAATCGACAAACTATACAAACCACGTCCCATATATTAAGATCAAGTGCGTAGTTAAGATTATGTTATTTATGAAGCACCTTGTAAAAAGCAAAACCAGTGGACTAAGCGATTTGTCAATTGCCTAGTTCGATTTTCACTAAAATATTTCCTCAAAACCACCAGATTGATTTCTTATTAAAATAACATTATATTTTATTATTACTTAGGTCATTTGAATTACATGTTATGTAGTTTACCTGTTTATAAATCTATTTTTATAACATTTGTAAAATTTATATATTTTAATGCTACAGTATTCACATTTTGCCCAAGTACTTGATAAATCTAATGCCATTTTAACAGAGATTAACTAAGTCTTGTTTATTGAAATATTTCAGTCAAAATTTAATCGGGGAAACATTTGCTTAGTCTGCAGGTTTGATATTTTTATATTTGAACAATCCTAACATCGTTCAATGTGTAGAAATGAGCTTTGAAACAATAAGTACAGTAAACAAACTAACTACAAATTACCTGGTTTGTTTCTGTTTTGTGTGGAAGCCTTACAATTAATATAAATAAATATATATTTTACTAATTTTAAATAATAATTCTGTCACAAAGCTCTTATCATGATGAAGGTCTTTTTATTAACAACTACAGAGATTTATTTGGTTGAGGAAAAGATTACATGTTTGGTAGGTCGTAAACTTATTTTAACCGATATTTTTAAATTAAAGAAAACCAAGTGTGAATCTCTGAGAATTTTGAAAATAAAGAGTCTCACGCAATATAATTGTTATTACACTTATGACTTTAATTCAAAAAAAGTTCGATAATCGAATATGACTTCGAAGAATTAAATGTAAGACCTTTGTAGTTTTAAAAACAAAGGTAAATGATTCTATGACGTGTTTTTTTCTTGAACCTTTACGCAAGCGGAACTAATAGTAGTGAATATTCAGTTTCATATTTCAGAAGAGTATCATATTTACTAGATAACGAGCAACTTTATTTTGAAATCAAGTAGTCTCAATAAAGGTATTGAAAATTGCAAATTTAGATTAGAAATATATTTTATGTATGATAGTTTGAAGTAGTATTTTATAAATGCATTTAAACTAATAACTAATAACAAGTAAATGCACAATATTAATGCTACTTTTAATTTTTACTATTAAGAGACAGCTCATATAATTTTTGATGGATAGTACCAACCAAACACTGGTTAAACAATTAGTTATATGGTGGCCTGTTTTGTCATTATCTCAATGTAAGTCGCGTCTTTTTTAATCCAATCTGCATGTTTGAATAAAATGTATTGTATAGACTTTACAATGACATTTTTTTTAAATATGTTAACGTTTTATCATGAAACTTCATTAAATGGTTATTGTAAAATTTTGTTTTCCCCGTTAATCATTCCAACCATTTCCTTCAAATTGTTTCACTTTTGATGGGAAATACTTGGTGAAGGTAACTAACTGTCGCTTGAATCGTTATACTTTGCGGCGTAACAACTTAAGGTATAATTTTAAATTCGATGTTAAAGAAAATTAAACGCTATTTTAATAACAGCTTACAGTTTAAGAAATAAATATTGCTCTATTTAATGCTAGGAAAATAGCCTTAAAATATACTAAAAATGTTGCACTTACTACGTTACCAAAATTTCATAATAAATATGCTGAATTGTTTATATGTACATTAAGTATTAGATTAAAAGGCACTTTGTATTTGCAAGCTGTATACAGGATTAGATAATTACAATTCTCATAAGAGATGAAGCAAAAATTCAAATTAATCAAGTTAGATGTATTGATTTTGTAAATAGTTAGCAGCATAGAGAATGATAAAGGATATAGCTTCATTGTGAAACGAGATCACTTTGATGAAGAAGTGTATCGCTTAACTTGCCAAGAACCCAAGGTTTGAATGGGTTGAAATTCACATAACAATGATTCTAACACTTGTTGTATCGAAATTGTAGTTTTCTCGGGTAGGATTCTACATTTCGCAGTGGAAATGAAATAAAGTTATTATTAAAATTCAAATAAAAAATAGCTTTAACTTTTTTGTATATTCTTGCAAATACAAATGTCGATAAAAAATTGAATATTTAAACTTACCATGTTTTTGGATGAAGGCGATTTCTATACTTTTCCCATATAACTCCTCATGTGTTTTGTCAGATTTTGGATAAGAAGGACCCAATCTAGTGTATCCTCGTCCTTCGTACAATGCTCCATCCCCTCCAACTAGGAAACTGTAAGAAAACACTACGTTAATACAACATTTTATAAAAAAATAAATAAATACCTTTACTCATAACATAACATAAATGCCTTGCGTTTAAGCATAACTTTTTAGTACAATCTCTAAAATGCATTTTACAAATAAAGTAATTTAAACAATAACCCGTCTAAGCACCATCATAAACAATTTTTCCTAGTAATAAATGTTTGATCAGAGGTATGTTTTAGGATTAATCCAAGAAATGTTAACTAAACCAGTATGTTTACTATTTTAGTAAGATGAGGTTTCTATTCCTGTAAACTAACTTGTGTCTGATGTCAGGACACTTGTCGTCCTTCATATGTTCCGCTTGTATTTCTTTTACTCTCTGTATACACTCTTCCTCAGTGGTACAGGGCTCGGTCTCAGTCCACGTCAGCACGACCTTCTTCACGGGAGTTTCGAGGGATTCGATCCATTTCGGAGGCTTGGCGCCCCAGTCCGCCCGTCTCATGTATTTCGCCGGAGCGGGCTTTGCTGGGGTGGGGTTAGCATCTTTAGCTTCCTTGGTGCCGGGTTTAGGTGTGTCGGGCACCTCAAAAGACTCCACGTTTTCTGGTTCCATGATTTATGGGATAAAACTTTTTGCCAACTGTGGAAAATAAAACATTCGTTTTATGTACCATGCATAAATAGATAAATTTATTTACACAAAGTTGAGTTCTTTTTAGTTAACGGAATTTTGTTACAAGGATTAGGCCTATCTATAGCTTTGAAGAAAAATTAATCATAGGCCTTACTTCTTTATTTTCCTTACTCCTTATTTCCTTATTTGTTTACTGGATACATTGGGGGAGAATCCGTCCTTTCACACCGACATCCAAGATACTGACTTCTATGGCTTACACAACTACTGGCTTCTAACCATACGATAATTTCGGAAACAGTTTCCGAGGTATATTGTTAAAACTATTTCTAAGCCTTTTGCTGTAACCTTTTAAATTTAATATACAACATTTTACACCTTTTATCCCTTGTGAGTGAAATGTAATTAACTACATTTTTTAACGTTGTGTACAAATAGTGGTAGATTTATACCAACGACAGTGATTATAATCAGGCACAATCAGAGAAATTATCAGATTAAGAGAATAATAATTAGATTCTGTGATTGGGCCCGAACTGCGTGATTGATTGATCGAAATACTGTGTATCTACTCTAATCTCTTTTTCGTGAACGTTATTTGTTAAAAAGAAAATTGTCAGATAAATGACGTTATTTAATTCTACTGTTCCAATAAATAAACCTTTATTAGTTATTAGTAAAACTACTTTACCAAGCTTTGTGTTTTCATGTAATTGTATTTGGAAAATTTATTTGATGTATCCTTTGAAGGAAAAATCAATAAAGAAATATGAGGACGATGGTGATGAATTCTACTTTAAACGAAGAAATTGAATTGTTTGTCTGTTAAACATACAACCATAGACAAACGACTTAACCCCGTAGAATACACAAATAAATTGGTAATGAAAAGTCAAGGGTTACCAATTGAATAAATAGGATTACTACAAAAGATGTTATTAGAAAAGTTTTGTCAATTTGATTGAGTTTTTAAATCTCTAAAAACAACTTCCCTTTTTACCTAGAACATTGAAGAACATGGACTTATTTTTGCAATAAAGCTGTGAAGAAATCTACACGTTTAACTATGACATAAGGGCTAGTTTCAGTGTGACAGATCAGGATATTAAAAAATTAATTAGTGTGCTGCACCAATTTGTGTGTGTGGCCTTATAAAACCTTACTAAATGCTTACATAACTCTGCAAATAGTTAAGAATACTTACTCACCAAAATAAGTGTCAACCCAACCTCTCCACATAAAAACGTCAACTATTTTATAATAAATAATCCATGAAGACTCTTAAATAAATCAATACATGTTTTGTTGTTTTAAACTAGAGTACCTTAGCAAGTTATGAAACAGCGTTCCGTTATCATAACATTATAGAGTTAAAGATAAAGATAAAATTATCTAATCTGTAATAGAATAGTGATAACAAAATTAACTGACAACTAACAAACTGACCCATCTCTAAATTTCTCTCCTTTGAGCGAAACATCTCTTTTATATATTTCGTAAAGAACTATATTAGTGGCAATTATGATTAGTCCAAAGTTAATAATAAAACTAGTTACAGGTAGAGTACTTTATAAACAGATACATATAACATTAAATATGTTGTGTCATCTTAAATCTGTATATTTGGGAACGATGAAACTGCTCCGATATTTTAGGTAAGTTTTAAATGATGAAACTGCTCCGCTCATTACAGAGCATCAAGAAGGGTCACCTCGCCATACCAGAAATGCTGAAATTGCCCCGAGCGCCCGGCCAGGTAGCCGCTACGGGTCTGGGGAAAAGGCAATTGTTGTTGTTCCTGCGTTATGTCAGTGACTGCAGTCTTCTAATAACTACCACCAATATCAGGAATTATCCTACTAGCTTATTTTAGGTTAGGTATTGGTACTACAGAAACAAAAAGAGGGAATTATTGTTGTCCCTGCGTTCTGTCAGTGACTGTATTCTTCTACAGTAATAACTACCACCAATATCATGAATTTCTAGCTTTTTAAAGGTTAGGTTAGGTTAGTTTAGGTTAGGTTGGATTAGGTATTGGTACAGAAACAATTGGCTTGGTAGGAAAAGCAGTCGACGGCAGTTAACTTCAGAAGAACTTAGAAGACTGCAGTCACTGATAGGATAGGACACAGGGACAAAAATAATTCCCTTTTATCTCCATTCCTGTAGCGACTACCTGGCCGGGTGCTCGGGGCAGTTTTAGCATTTCTAGTCTTGCGAGGCGACCCTTGCTAATCCTTTTTAATAAGCGGGGCAGTTTCATCGTTTCAAAAGTACCCAAAACGTCGGGGCAGTTTCACTACGCCCGTATATTTTTGTGTTAGAAGTATTTGTCGTAAGATTATGTTTTCGGTACCATTAGTTGGAGAAGTCATTGGCTCATATTAAGTGCAATATCATTTACTAAAGTATTAGACTTATTTGTTTTAAGTAATTATAAAGCGTAATTAGTGGTAATTGTAATGGTGGAACATGCTAAAGTTAAAAAGACATTACATTGACGAAAGATAGAGGCAGGGCTGTCTATAGTGGTAGGGATCCGGAACATGAGAATTTCATCACTGAGCCTTGGGTGTAATTTATCCCCTAATACACAGTATACGGAGAAGGTAAGGATTTTGTAAAATTTTCTAGTTTGAGCTTTGGGTGAAAATATCCCCACTGAACCCAAAAAGTGGTTTTAGACGTGATGTGTTTGTATTGTGTGCATATACAGAGAGCTACATACTACATCAATGGTCTAATTGTGATGCAATTCGGCATGTGGGTACAAATCTATGGTATCTCAAGTATTTTTCTTCAGTTTTTAAATTTTTAATGTTGACGGTGATTTTTCTATAAAAAAGACGAAAACTCAGATAAAAAAACAGCTCTAAAGTTTTTGACTAAACGTTATGGGCCTTTTAACTAAAAACAACAGCACGACTCACAATGCTGTAAAAACTACGCTCCAAAAATTATTAAAATCTTTGTGTGATTTTATCTACAATGTACCATAATTACTTCACTATTTACTCAGATAAGGGCTATTTACAAGCTAATGGAAGGTATTATGTGTCAATTTGCTGATATAGTTGATTACAACTTTTATGGATGCTACTTCTACACTTGCATTGCTCATCCACATAGGCTCGGGCCAGTGTGTAGAACGTATTAAGCAATAATGGGTGAGCAAGTAAGCAAGGTTTGCTAGCAATAATGGGTCAGCTGATGCAGTGCAAGAAAAAAAAACTCTGATAAATAATGGCGGCACCGAAGACTAACCCACGACATCACTGCATGCTGCATAAAATACGTAGTCTGGCGCTCTATGGAATGACATCGGCTAGCCAACATTAAAATGCTACCAATCACTAATTAATGAGTTAAATGCCGTAACCTGATGTAGCCCACCTTAAAATTATGTCCAGTTATCTAGAAACTCTCTCAGGGGTGGAGAATGTCCTCTACATTGGTGATTTTCCTCAATTAAAGCGGTCCAATAAGTGACTATTCTATGAAAATAGTAATCATGTTTGGTTAAGATATTTGTGGCTATACTGTGGTATAGCTGTTATCGCAGTAGATTGTTGTTAGATTCACCAAATTAAAGTACATTGAAACATTTGCCGGAGCCAAAACTACGTGGTAATCAGTATTAAACGCGACAGTTTTGCTATCGTCCAGCACTTAGGCTACAAGGGTGGCGTTCGTACTTATCTCGAATAATACTAAGCTATATGAAATGTATATGCAGTGATCAAATTTTCTAAAACTTGCCATCATGAAACAGATAAATTTTACCAACTTAATTTGCAGAATAACATATACACTCGTTAACATAATATAAAGTTTATATTATGTTCAATTGTTTTCACAATAAGTAGCCTAAATGATTTAACTTGTCATGACTTATAAAATTTGTTAGTCAGTAAAAACTGCTCTATGTTGTTTTTCAATTTGCAAAATTATCATATCGTTTATGTACTATTTAATTGTAATGTACTGTAATTTTATAAGTAGATTAAACTCTTCATTTTTATTTACAAATAATCTATCAATACTACCTTTAAGTATTTTATAAACTCTTTATTGTGAAAATAATGTAAAATAAAAACAAATATGATTTTGATTTTGCAAAGAGGATGATGAGGATTTTATATTGGGTAATTCATCTATATAATTAATACGCTACAAGAAAAACTTTGTCGGTTGAACTCCTCCGCCATTTCTTAACCGATTTTATCCATTGACGTCTCATTGGAAAGAGCGTGTCGCGTAGATTTGCAAACTGACCTTACATTTTTTTAAAGCCCCTTGGGCTCTGCCCCAGTGGCTGTTAAAGTTCCTATGTTATCCTTATGAAGAACATAATTGTTTACATTTTGATCAGCTGTATAATTTAATTGCTGTTATTTATTTTTCAAATTCAAAGTCTTTTAAACTCATCTAACTACTTTACTTCTTTGCAATTGCTCGATTTCGAGCAACGTGTTTACTAGTAAAAATAATATTGTGAATCATCCTTATGTTTGTCCCTGTCTTGATAATATATATATATATATAATATAAATAAATAAATGTATATATATAATTTAAATATATATATATATAATATGAAGGGTACACGAGGAAAATAGGCTCATCTTCATTTTATAGATTGTTCAGGAACAGCTGTTTTCTGTTTACAAGTTGAATAATTTTATTAAATTTGGTCTATAAAATTAGTAGATGACTTACTGAATACATAATTATATATATATATAATAGAAATATAATAGCTAATGTATAGTAATAGTTATAAATTACTAGCGTCAGGCTAACAAATAACAAGGATAACTTTGATCATTACCTATATTGTCTGTGGTAATAAGGAGTTTGGACTTATTTCTAAAATAACTTTTAAAATAGAATTTAGTTACAAAAGATTGCCTTCAGATTGGAACGGAATTGTTTTTCGGAACAATCCTGAAAACTGGAACTCAATTTTCAATTCCAGAATTTCTCGGAAAGAATAATATAAAGCTTATACACTGTCTTAGTCAAACTTCTATTTATAACCTACTTTAACACTACCCGATTGTCTTTTTCGGAATAAAAAAATTACCATATCAGGTAACTGACTATTTAAATAAAAATAATTCATCAATGCATATGTATTAAACAATATTTATCTTATGTATTTCTTTTGAGTTGTGGTTAAGTCAACAAAAACTTGTTCTTATCTTTGTTACATACTTTTCCAGGGAGAAAAAATATTTACAATGTTGCTAAGATAGCTCACACTACAATGGCCAAGTGAAATTCCAGGGTCTGTGACAAGGGTAACCGCTAGAATAAAAGCGGTTATCAAAGGTTAAATAAACCTAAAATTACCTATCGATCAATAACAAACAATCCTAAAACAATGCTAAAACACACCTCAATCAACCTGCTATTAGCTGGACTTTCAGAGAGGTCTCAATAAAATAATTTGCTAGCAGCAAAACACAAAATAAAATTAACTAGACACTATAAATATATTAAATACACTATATTTATACGATTCTTAAAAACAATAAATTAAGGTAAACTATTCTCTGAATATTTGTTGGAAACTCACTTAAATTCTGGGCATGCTTTGGAAGCTACTTAAATCTACGCTTTTACACATTCTAATGTAAAATGTATACGCATGCTTTGCGTTAATGCACTATTTCCCCTCGTACATTAGATGCAAGGGAAAATCCAATAAAGCAAACAAAACAAGGAAATAAATTTCGGCTTAAATAGACTGTAAATGAGATATATGTTATTTAGCACAAAGCTAGGCTTTGTTTAGTTCAGAAGCAGCATTATACATTATCGTTTGTTACTCTCCAAAATCATCCTCTTCACTTATCGTTGATATTACAGAAGCCCTATACTATATTTTTGCTATCGAGAAACTGTCCATTTTTTTATTAACTTTTTACACCCTAAAGCACTTATTTTAAAATTAATTTTGTATTCTATCGGGTTTACATTTTACATATATTTAGACGGGTTATATTCAGAAGAATTAAAATATACGATTTATTACACTCTGAGTCAAGTTGTAAAATCTAGATTTTTATACAAGACCACAAGACAAAACAAGTTTTAACACCAGTTAGCTATTATTTTGGAAAAATAAAAACCCTTTAAATTAAATATTGCCTAGGAAGTTGTATAAGTTAACTGTTACTTTACAATTTTCACAGATAGCTTTTAAGTGGATTTTGGTATGTTTTGATTGGTGTTATTGTTTTAAAAGGTGGTTTAGTTTGCCATTTGATCACTTTTTAAATACTAACAATCCAAAGGATGTAAATATTTAAATAGAAATGTTAAACATTT